TACGTTTTGGACACAATTCACAAAAAGAACATCAGGGAACTGGAGAAAGTACAGAGAAGGGCAACCAAACTGATACGAGGCATGGAGGAGCTTGGCTATGAGGAAAGATTAGAGGAACTGAATTTTTCTCTCTTGAGAATAAAAGATTAAGGGGGGATATGATCTCCATGTATAAATACATCAGTGGCTCATATAGTGAATCAGTGTAGTAGTTATTCATCCTGAGGTCATCACAGAGGACAAGGGGGGCACTCTTTACGTCTGGAAGAAAAGAAATTTAATCTCCAAATACGGAAAGGTTTCTTCACAGTAAGAGCTGTGAAAATGTGTAATAGACTTCCTCAAGAGTTGTTTCTGGCCAGCTCAGTGGATTGCTTTATAAAAAGGCCTGGATTCTTTCTTAGATACACAGAATATAACTGGATACTATTTATAGGTAAAGTTGATCCAGGGAATATCCGATTGCCTCTCAGGGGGGATCAGGAAGGAATTTCTTTGCCCTGCAGGAGTAAATTGTATCATGCTTTGCTGGGGTTTTTTTTTTTTTTGCCTTCCTCTATATCAACTGTGGGTATAGCATTATAACTTTTTTTTTTTTTTTTTTTTTATGATTGAACTGGATGGACTTTTGTCTTTTTTTCAGCCAGACTATTTAACTATGCCACCTGTGTTTACCTGGTATTCCATCCAACTTGTTGAAATTATATACTAGTGACTTTTAGATGAAGAGTAATTTTGCTGAGAACGTTTGTTTCTTTTATGTGACCACATCACACCAGGCTATTCACAGCTGATTTACTAGAGGGGTGATTTCAACTCTTAATTTGTGTTCAGTTGAAGTACACCTAAATACTTTGTAAAACAGTTCAAACAGGTCCCAAATCCAGTTACTATTTAATGCACAAGCCTCCTAAAGTTAAATACAAAAAAAAAATGACTTTATATTGCCCGACTGATGCAAATCCTCCTTCAATTTGTGTTTCACTTATTCCCCCTCCCAGATACTGCAGCTTGCAGTGGGAGGGGTTTTAACAACAAAGGAAGTGCTGTTAATCTAGAAAGCAGTTGGCAGGAATAGGTGTGGCCAACTGCTGATTGACTAGCTATGGAATATATGTCAGCAGTGACAATACTGATAGCCACTCCCTTACAACATATTCTCATCTTACTGTAGTGCAAACTGGCAGCTTGCATGAGGGTGGCAATACTTCTTTGAGGAGCAGTTCAGCGGCGTTGTCTTCCCATCACAGGAAGCTAAATGAATTGGACTTTACTGACAGGTAGTGTGGAACTTTGCATGGGTCTAAGATTACGTGCTGAAGCACATTTCTACTACCACAGTTCTACTACCTGATTAAAGTTCAGGTTCCACTGAAATAGACACCTGCCCTGTCTTTGAAGTGAGAGCTGACTTAGGTAAGAAAATTATTTTTAATACATAAATATAATTCCTTTTGCCCTCTTCCTTTTCATTTTAGTGAGTGGTCTGAGCCAGATTGAACACCTGTGTACTTACCTGTCACTTCCCACCAACCTGATTAACATCTTTCAGGAGAAACCCCAAGTGACAGAGACCCTTATCAACAGGTAAGTCACTGACATTTTTTTTATTGTTGAATCAAGGTCCTCTCTAGTTCTAGTCCCTTGGAGAGAAACAAACAGATAATAACCTGACAGAGAATCTTGAACGTCTGCATTTCAGATGAGAAAGGTGTTTTGTTGCAGTTTTTTCTGAATTTCTCATCACTTCCTGTTCCAACCGGAAAACTCACCCCTATGGGTGAAAAAGACAACAAATAAAAACCTGGTAGATGTACTACCCTTCCTGCTCTGTTCAAAACTAAAAAAAAGTTTTGGCTGGAGTTGGGCTTTCAGCAGAAGAAGTTTTGTCATCCTTGCACAGGGGGCCTCTTCTTTGCTGTGTTGCTGTGCCTCATCGTATGTGTAGCTTTTTGTTTCTGAGGATACAATTTACGTTCATTTTAGAAGTGCTTCTTTTGGCTTATTTTTTTTTTCTCTACAATACCCACCTTTTTCTTCTGTATTTATCCATGTGTAAATGTTTCATTGAAGTGTATGAAGTTTAAATAGAGTAGGGGAACGATTAGAACCAGTGTTAGATTTCTATTGCTGTTAGTGTCCTCATTCAGTAGATTTACCTTTTCTATCTGTTCTGGGTACCTTTTATCAGACAAATAGTGGTGGGAAATACAACATAACATTGGAGACACCTGTTTTGGGGGCAGTGGTCTAAGAGGGAAATACTACCCCCCTCATTGTCCTGTTAGTTCATTTTCTCAGGACATGAAGTGAACAGAAATCAGGAACACAGGAAAAAAAAAAATGGTTTTAATCCTTCCCTGTCAAAAACACACACAAGAATGCACCTGCTCTGGAAGACCTATGATTTCCTACGTGTGTGTTTGTGTTTGTGTGTGCGTGCGTGCGTGTGTTAAAGTAAAAAGATAAATCCTAAAATTTCATACAAGCAAACTTGGTAAACCTGATACATAGCTTCCCTTTCTAACTGAAATTGTCTTTTATGTTGGAAGTTGGTGCAAGCACAAGGAGGTAAGAAGATTTGCAGCTGTTGAAAGGACGGCGATCAGGTAGGCGATATTTCTGCTCTGACAGTCTGATTATACAGATCTGACTATCTGATAGTAAAATATTGCTATTAATGTACAGAGGATTATGTACATGTTTGTGTAAAAGTCTAATTATGTTAGAGTAGTTTGTCGTCATTCCTTTTATTTCCTGTCCATTAACGGTTCAATCCCTCCTGTTAGCTTTCCACGAGAGTCTAATAAATTGATAAACCTCCCTGAGGACTACAGCAGTCTCATCAATCAAGCATCCAATTTCTCGTAAGTAACTGACTTGTTTAACCCCTTCATGAATAAAGGTCATCAAAGCCTAGATGCTGAGACCATCTTTAGCAGCATCACTGTATGAGCATGAATCAGCAAATTTGACAATAAAATAATTATCTTAATCATACAGTACAGAATACATTACTGGTGCCCATATGACCCCGCCCGCTCTGTAAAATAATTTTTATATTGCTTATGGACCTACATGGCTTTTTATTTGGTACTCTGTTTTATTATATCCTATATCACTCCAGCAATCCTGATGGATTGCTGTAGTGATTATTTAACACAAAACCGTTTTAGATCATATTTTCTTTTTTAACCATTTACTTCTGTATTGCAGTGCTGTCCAAGCTCTTGCATTGTTTATCCACAGCCCCAGATCTATACAAAGGTACAAACCAAGGTTATGGGACTGGTAAATAATGGACTACAAGTGTGGTTATGTCACTCCACTTGTGCACCACTGAGATCTGCGAGTCCCTCTGTTTTGGTGGTAGATGGGACTTGTAGTCACCCTATTCCCAGATTCCCTATCAATGAATGGTATGGTAGAACCACACACAGCCGGGTTATATTTAAATATCAACAAATGTCTGCAGGGAGAACACCCCTCGATTCAGATAATTGTATGAGACATTGGGGAATGTGGCCATGTTTCAAGTTACACTCAAAGTGTTGGTGAAATATGGTCCCAAAAATGGACTATGCCGTAAAAAAGAAAAACCATTTGAATTAAAATATATTTTACCATGCGTATCCACTAAAACAACATCAGCTGCAAACTGCTCTTCAGAACAACACATTGGAATTCTTCTTGTGCTGGTCTGAGTTAAGATCATTTAGATTAGTTATTTTCACTTGTAGTGTTTTTTTTGATTTATCCAGGTACCAGAGAATACAAGCGTTTTATTAATAATTAAAATCATTTAATCAGCCTTTCATAAGATAAGTTCTCCAACACATGCAAATATTAAATCGATCAGAAGTGATTGACAGAATTCTTCTAGGGCTGATCGACTTGGTAAAGTCTAAATCAATCAAAAGCTCATTAAATCAAATACTATCAAATCTAATGGCGGGTCCTTGGTTTGTGATTTTTGTTGAGGTAAATGATAGATTGTATGATCATATTGATATGTGTATGGGCACCATTAAACCAAAGCTGCAACCTATTTAATGAAGGCATTGTAGAGCTTCACATTATGTTAAATAATGTACCACTAAACCTTGCGTTCAGGTATTTTGATTGTCTGCTGTGATTACTGAAATCAATATGAACCTCATCTGTGTTTTGGTTCTAGTTGTCCTAAGTCAGGGGGGGATAAGAGCAGAGCCCCCACTTTGTGCCTGGTGTGTGGAGCCATGCTTTGCTCTCAGAGTTACTGCTGTCAGACTGAGTTGGAAGGTGATGACGTGGGGGCCTGCACCGCGCACACGTATACCTGTGGATCTGGAATGGGAATCTTCCTCAGGTCAGTAAGACTTGCTTATTATGCCAATTTTTTGCAGAGTAACGTTTTACAAAACACAATTCAGCTGCATCGAAGAGGAATAGTGTGTGCAGTTTGCACGTCACTGAAAGTGAATTTGTACTTTAACCACTTGAAGTCCGGACACTTTTACCCCCTTCCTGTCCAGGCCAATTTTCAGCTTTCAGTGCTATCACACTTTGAATGACAATTGCACGGTCATGCAACACTGTACCCATATGAATTTTTTATCATTTTTTTTGAGACAGATAAAGTTTTATTTTGGTGGTATTTATTCACCACTGGGATTTTTTATTTTTTTTGCTATATAAATGAAAAAGTCCCAAAATTTTGAAAAAAAGTTTCTTATAAAATTTTGCAAATAAATAATATTTCATCATAAATCTTGGCCAAAATTTATTCAGTTATCTTTTTAGTAAAAAAAAACCAAAACTTACATTTTTTTATTTTTTTTTATATTTATATTTTTTTTTTACATACTGTCACCCTAGCAGTACAGTGTCACCATGGTGACACTGTGCTACTTGTGGGGGGTGATGAAGATTTTTTTTTTTTTTTTTTACACCCATAAAGGCTGTAAAAGCAATCATTTCTCCTTCTCTCTGGCTGCATTCTTGCAGCCATTGAGAAATACTGTGTGAGCTGTGATTGGTCACAGCTTGTCACATGGTACAAGGCTGTTGTGAATAGCCTTGTACCATGTGACCTCTGTGATCATTCACAGATTTCACGCGTAGTAAGCAATAATGTCAGAAGTGACATCTTGCTTACTACTCTTCATGTGATCACTGATTGGCCAATTAGTGATCACATGATCAGGACCTCGCACAGAGGTCCTGTACGACAATCAGTGTTCCACTATGTCCGAAGGATAACGCGCTCCCAGGGAGCACGCACAGTCCAAAATGGCGGTGCAACCCGCCCCTAGACTGCCACAGTCCGGCCATTTATATACAGCGGCCGGACGGCAAGTGGTTAAGGTACACAAGAAGATGTTGCTGCTCAATTCACACTGTGGATTTTGTTTCGCCATGTTCCAATGCTGTGTAAAATATGTTGGCATTGCACCTAAATAAAGGTTAAAATGAACATACATTAATGTATTGTTTGATTGTTTTTATGGTCTCTGTACAGAGTTAGAGAATGTCAGGTCCTCTTCTTGGCTGGGAAAACAAAGGGCTGCTTCTATGCTCCTCCGTATCTTGACGACTATGGAGAGACAGATCAAGGACTCCGGTATGTTTAAAATTATTTCACAGTACACCCGTGCAGTTATTCTGCATAAAGTAGGTCACAAAGGTTGTGTAAACTTGAAGCTGAAACTTTGTCTTCATGTGTATTGTAACATCTCCATCTGCATCGTATAATGCTGGCTTTGGGATCATATTTGATTGCTATGTAAAACCCACAGATGTTGACCTCCTGATGCAGTTTATTATTTTTTAGTACCTGGCATCTGTCACTATAATGAGCAGACTGTGGTTACTTCAGTGACACCTACCAGTCACTAGAGGGAGCATGGAAATTTACACCAACAGTCCAGAAGGGTCCACATATGTGGGCAGTGCAAGTTGCTTTGTAGAGAGCACTCAGCAGTCCTTCGTTTCCTTCTCTGATCTGATCAGACAGCCAGGAGCATTTTGGAATTGATTGGGCAGATTTGTCATTTGGGGACCGGGAAAGGAGTCTATAGCATTATGTTAACTTGTACTAGGTTGGAGTTTAAAGCAGAACTTCAGTCTCTCAATCAACATGGACTATTTCTAATCCTTATGCTGCTTTGCATTCCTATATTTACTTCCTGGTTTCAATGCCTAGGCAAATGATGTCATACATCCCAGGAGTCTTCAGGAGGGGAGGGAGGGTTTTCAACTCGGCCAATGCCTGAGCTAAAGACAGATGGATTCCAGGAATTAACTGCAACATGAACCATCTGCTTTTACTCAAGATGACCACTGCCAGAAATGCCAGGAGGTTTTTCAAAAATAATTTCTCAACAAAATATAGCATGGAGACATGGATGGTGGAGGTTGATTTGAATATTAAAAATGAATTATATAGCATTTTAAAGCGGAGTTCCAGTTGAGTAAAAAAAAATAAAAGTCAGCAGGTACAAAAACTGTAGCTGCTGCTTTTAAAAGACAGACACTTACCTGTCCCTCGGTCCAACGGTGTCCTCACCACAGCTGGTTTCACCAGCCGTCCTCTCTCCCCAGCATCTTCCGTATGGGCACCCACTGCACATGCGCTTGTAGCGCTGCACTTTGTGATGAATGGTCCCATAGTCTTTTGGGACCTGTCGCATGTCCCAGAAGACTACAGGGAGGGAGGTGGGGGAGGACAACTTCCGCTTCTAATCGCCAGCAGAATTGGGAGCGGGTAAGCAGGTACCTGTCAAATTTGATGCTCCTCAAAGATGTCAATCCTTAACGGGGAGAAGGGGACAAAGGCTTAAAGCGGAACTTCCTCTTTTGGGTGGAGCTCCATTTTAACAAGGGCTTTCTTTTCCTGTGTAGCCTTTATCAACTAAAGGACACTTTTGGCCTAGTTCAATTTAAATTCCTTAACCATTAAGGCCCCTTTCATACGAAGGGTCTGATCAGGTCCACCTCCATTCAGCCCTCTAAACCAGTGGTTGCCACCCGCCTACCTCCATTCTAAACTGATCTGCTAAAAAAAAAAAAAAAAAAAAATGGATGGGATCCATCTCCCTCTCTCTAGGTGTATCAAATTGCAGGGCAGTCGAGTTAAACTGAAAGTGGAGTTTGTTTACACCTGACCACCCACAGAGCAGAGTGGGCTTTATCTGTATCCACTCTTCATAAACTGAGTGAACATAGACATATCATCTGCCCGCGCTTCTCTGAGCAGGAGATCAGCAAACCAATCCCCTGATCTAAATGGAGCCCTTCCCATGTGAAAAAGACTTAAGGACTTCATGAAAACAAAAAAAAAATCAATTTGACATGGACTAGTAAAATGAAATGATTTGGTGTACCTAGGAAAAAAAAGGGCTATAAAATATCGTATTAATTTTTGGGGAGAGTGGTATAAAACGTTAGTCAGTACTTGTATTAACCGAGGTGTCTTGTGTTCTCTAGACGGGGGAATCCCCTTCACCTGTGCAAGGAGCGTTTCAAGAAGATCCAGAAACTCTGGCAGCAGCACAGCATTACAGAAGAGATTGGACATGCGCAGGAAGCCAATCAAACACTAGCAGGCATCGAATGGCAGCATTTATAATGCAGGCTCCTTTTTGTTTTTGACTTTTTTTATTTTTTAGCAGTCTCATTTTCTATAAGAAAATTAATGTGACTGATACGTCATTCTGTATAAACAGTTCAGACCTTTAATTTATATTTCATTGTCAAGTCCAAGGAATAAAGCAGAGTTTTTACTCCTGAGAAACACTACAGAAGTCATCTTATTAAGAATTCTCAGCTTACCCTCATGCAATGTAGGGCCTGAATTGAGTGAGATACAAATGAAGTTGTAGCGCTGGTCTATGTTGCTGGTCTATCTTTAAGGGACATTGCCTATAGTTAATCTGTATTTTTAAAAAAAAAATCCATATATTATCAAGGGAAAAAGCAAAAAATGCTTGAGATGTCAGTATGTATGTAAAGGATGTTTCCACTCATCAGTGAAAATTCAGTTTTTGTTGCTAATAAACACACAAGTGTTAGTTTACACTATCTGCTGCTATTGCAACCACATTCTGAATCAAACAGAAAAACTTTGTCAGAATTCCTCCCCTATGTCCCAGAACCTCAAGAATAAACTTCTACCAACAGGATAGGACCATCAGCTTGTTTAAAGAACAAGTCCACCTTTAGTAATCAGGGTACTAGTCCATCTTACCTGGCCCCCCTCGACTTGCCTGAAAACCCGCCACACAGCTATTGCCAAAAGTTTCAGGGCGTTGGCATCACACCTATATAATCTCATTGGACCTTCCCCTCCAACACCTTGGGCCTTCTTATGGCATTGCTCCCGCCTTTCTTGAGGTTATAATAGCCTCTACTCTTCTGTGAAGGTTTGCCACAAGAAGAGTGGAATGTGTCTGTGGAAATTTGTGCCCATTTAGCCAGAAGAGCATCTGAGAGGTCAGGTACTGATGTTAGACAAGAAGGCCTGGCTTGTGGTCGACGTTCCAATTCATCCTGAAGATGTTCAGTAAGGTTGAAATTGGGGCACTGTGCAGGCTATCCAAGATCCTCCAAAACAAACTCCTCAAACCATGTTTTTATTAAGCTGGAAGAGAAGAAAAACACCTTCCCCATACTGTGGCCATAAGGTTGGTGAAAGGTACTTTCTAAAATGTCTTTGTGTACTGTAGCATTTACAGTACCCTTCACCTATCCTGAACTCCATTTTGGAAGTTCTCAACATATTTTGGCTATAAAGTGTACCTTCTCTGGGCCAAAATCACCTTTTAGTACCATGCCTAGAAAATTCTGTGTATGGCCCTATTAATATTTATGGAGGCTCATTTGTTAAAGTATATGTAAAACATCACCTTTTAAAACAACCCATTTAGCTTAAAATAGAAATAAAAGACAACACATTTGTATATGTATATATAAAGGATCACCTTCCCTCTGTTCTCAGCTGCATAGTAGCTGGGGGAGGAGAAACAGCAGGATACTGAACTTCCCTATGAATGGCTGTGCATGGGGAGATGTAAGGACAAGTCTGATCATTGGAGTTAAATGTAGCAAAGAAAGAGACTGATTATCGTGCTGAATGTGGTAAGTAGGGAACAGGGTGGGTGTTTTCTAAGTTAGGGGCAAAAGAGGGTGGACTGTTGTATTTTTACTGAAAGTGTACTCATCCTTTTTAATTATAAAATAGATGCAGTGGCAAGTTTTGTTAGAGGCAGTACTGCTGATTGCAGCCTTACAAGTAAGGAGAAATGGGGACTGAGCTTTCAATATTGGGTAGAATTGTCTTTGAAATCTTCCTATGCTGAAAATTGTGCTTAGCTAACTGATAGCTTTGCTTGTAGTTTAAGCTTCCAGAAGGGAGACTTACTCATTAAATCAGGACTGCTGTTCGTAGAGCTTTCATGTTTGTTCAGGAACTTCTCAATGCTGTAAAAATACACTACCCACTTCCAGGATTTCTCATGATTAAAAATATTTAATTTGCAGTGTTAACTTGCTGGTGAAATCTAGTATCAGGGTGCCCGTGTCCTTTGTCAACATATGATCACTCTTCCCGATTATATAGAGCTCCTCTACTTTGTTTTTCAGCATGGGCTTTCTTTGGTCGCACAGGCCTCCGAAGATAGCGAGAATAGAATTCATCAACTAATCTTTCTAATTTTTGGTAGACTGATATAAAAAAAAATAGTTTAAAGAGAAAACCGCAACTGCTGCATCCCCACAACCTAACTTGACTACTGTAGGGTGGTTTGTTTTGGCAACACACAACAATGGCAACTTGTTCTGTGGAATTGGTTATCAAAACTGGAACCATGTTTAATTTAGCCTCAGTGTGGTTGCAGTCTTCACATTAGTCAGAATGGACTGGCTATACCAGCATGCAGTTTCTGAGTACAACAGCCACTTCCACATACAAAGGTCAGGTTATAACATTGAGCCCCGGTTCACATAAATGCGGCCATGCGGGCTGTGTTTTGTGCAGGCATGAGAGCCCATTCATTTGAATGGACTCCCATGCCCCTTGACACGCAAGGAATAAGTCCCTGCACTTCTTCCGAAAACGC